GGAGTTCATAACCCACTTCAATCTAATGTATGAAATATGGTATGTCAAGAGCTTTGTAATGTTGTGAACAACCAATAAAAAAAATTTTAAAAAATGGTAAAAAAAAAAAAACCAGCACAATTGTAGAAGAGAAAACATTTATTCAAGGGCTCATTGGAGTCAGAGGTCTTAGTCCATAGAACCCAGCTCCATATCCAGGCGCTCAAGGTGAGGCTGAATATCATGGTCTGAGAGTGTGGCAGAGGGAAGCAGCTCACATCTTGATCATGGTGATCAGGAAGCAGAGGGAGAGAGAGAGATCTGCACTTGCCAGACGCAAACATATATTCTAAAGCCAAGGCCCCAATTCCCACCTCCTCCAGCCACACCCTTTGACACCTCAGACACTTCAGTTACCAGTCAGTTAATCAGTTAATCCCTGTCACGGGATTAATTCATTGATTGGGTTAAGACTCTCACAACCCAATTATTTCTCCTCTGAACCTTCTTGCATTGTCACACAGGTAAGCTTTTGGGGGATACCTCATATCCAAACCATAACACATGTGAACAAAAAAATCAACTATCAACTAATCAACGTGCATGTGCATGCACCTGCACAGGAGTGCCACGGGATCTGTCTAACCATTAGCACTGACTTGCTCCTGCAAGACCCACCTCATGAGCTCCAGTCAGCGCGGGCTCTTTGGCCCACTTAGAAGGTGTAGGTGGAGTCCCAGAGTCAGCAATGCTGGAAGAGGAAGTACAGTCTGGCGCAACTGAGGGTTCCATAGATAACTAGAGAAGGAGAGCTGGCCAGGAGATCCCAAGCACAGCTTGCCGCTTGGCACAGAAGGGGGCGCTTGGCAGCCACAGCGCAGCGGGACGATGGAGCTAGGGGCAAAGCTCTGGTGGCAGCAGTGGGACAGTGGACCGGTGAGTGCGGGCTGCAGCCGGCTGGACTCCCTGGTCCGGGCTGCCCTTTGCTTCAAGGCTCCCGGCCAGGCAGCCTCTTGGGGAGGGGCGGGCGCGGGGTCGGGCCTCCATCGGTCCCAGAGCAGTGAAGTTGCAGCATCACGCCACGCGCGCTCCAGCGGGGCGGCGGGACGACCCAGCTAGGGGCACAGCTCTGGTGCCTGCAGTGGGACCCTGGACCGGTGAGTGCGGGCTGCAGCCGGCTGGACTCCCTGGTCCGGGCTGCCCTTTGCTTCCAGGCTCCAGGCCAGGCAGCCTCTTGGGGAGGGGCGGGCGCGGGGTCGAGCCCCTAGCGGCCCAGGGTCCAGTGAAGTTGCTGCATCCTGCCGCCCGCACCAGCCAGGCAGCGGGACTTCGGAGCTAGGGGCACAGCTCAGGTGCCGGCGGTGGGACCCTGGACCGGTGAGTGCGGGCTGCGGCCGGCTGGACTCCCTGGTCCGGGCTGCCCTTTGCTTTCAGGCTCCGGGCCAGGCAGCCTCTCGGGGAGAGGCGGGCGCGGGGTCGGGCCCCAAGCGGCCCAGGGTGCAGTGAAGTTGCAGCATCCCGCTGCGCGCGCTCCAGCGGGGCGGTGGGACGACCTAGCTAGGGGCGCAGCTCTGGTGCCTGCGGTGGGACCCTGGACCCCTGAGTGCTGGCTGCGGCCGGCTGGACTCCCTGGTCCGGGCTGCCCTTTGCTTCCAAGCTCCAGGCCAGGCAGCCTCCTGGGGAGGGGCGGGCGCGGGGTCAGCCCCCAGCGGCCAGGGGTCCAGTGAAGTCACTGCATCAAGCCCCGCGCGCTCCAGCCAGGCGGCGGGAAGTCTGAGCTAGGGGCGCAGTTCTGGTGCCAGCGGTGGGACCCTGGACCGGTGAGTGCAGGCTGCGGCCGGCTGGACTCCCAGGTCCGGGATGCCCTTTGCTTCCAGGCTCCGGGCCAGGCAGCCTATTGGGGAGGGGCGGGCGCGGCGTCGGCCCCCAGCGACCAGGGGTCCAGTGAAGTCGCTGCATCATGCTCCGCGCGCTTCAGCCGGGCAGCGGGACGACCTAGCTAGGGGCGCAGCTCTGGTGCCTGCGGTGGGACCCTGGACCCGTGAGTGCGG